AAGAAGAGAGAGAGAGAGAGAGAGAGAGAGAGAGAGAGAGAAACACATACATACACAAAGGTAAAATTCATAGCAATCCTATGATATTTTGGTTGTATATATCTATTACACCCCAGTCTAACCTCAATAAATTGGCATAAAGTTAAAAAAAAAAGACAAAATGAAAACTACTCTTGGAATGAGGCTAGAGCAATAAATATAGATATGTAAGAAAGTTATACCTTGAACTACAATGTTCAAAGAATATGGATATTCTCAGAAAGAAATGGATGTATATTTAAGAAAAGGATGGATATTTAAATGAGACTTCAGCTATATTTGAGTAAGCATATTGCCCAGAGTACTTGCAAGGCTAGTGTGAGCACAGCAGGCAACAATGAAGAAGCCTGCAGTTGCCTTCGGACAGCTGTGCTTCCTTCTTACCTTCTCAAGTTCTTCTTCCACTGCTCTTTTCCCTCTGATGGCTCGATCGATTTGACCTTGCTTTTCATCACAGTCCTATAAAATCAAGTCATAATGCAAACAAATGTATCTGGTGAAATATTAATGTGAGAAAAAAATGGAAAAGTAAAATGGTTTGTTTATAACAAGAGTATTATAGTTACCTCATCAACTAAGTAAGATCACAGAGTACTTATATAAGTTACTTACAACTAAGGAGAATTGCTGGGCATAGGGCATAGTAATTGTCAGCCTTCAAAAATGACCTATCCTAGAATTTCAGAAATTGCCTTCGGCTCTTCGACCCCTTTTTTTGTGGCAGTGTGTGGGGGGGATGTTACAGGTTCTCTTTTCATATAATATTACCAAATTATCTTGCAAAATGAACGGACAGTGTCACAATATCCAAAGGAAAACATCTGGCATAAAAAGTGTAAAATTCTAACAATTTTTCTTTACAAAATACTCAACATCCAGGGAAATCTATTAGCATGAGCATAAAACATTGAAACATTTATACTTAAAAGACTGTGTGTCAAACATTTTACTTAGTAATTTAACAAGTATATCAACTAATCAATATAATAATTTTGCCAAAATACTAAAAGCACTACAATCAACCAGTGAGTTCTTCATAATTATTTTTCTACATATTTGAGAACAAGCAGTTTTATTGCGAACATGCTTTGTTGACAGTACACCACAAATATTCATTTTTTTCATAATTATATAAAAGGCCTACCTCAGTGTTTCTAAAATTTAAAGCTTTTAAATTATGATCCAGAAATGATTACTTTGAACCCTCTTACAAACAAGGTAGGATTTCTTTTGTTGTTTTTGTTAAAATAGGCCTCAGTTTGTAGGAAATTCATTTGTAATGTCTTATACTTATTCATATACATGATAAGTACTTATCTATAAAAGGTTTTAGTTTTTCGGGGTTGGGGGGAGGGATGTTTTTCAGTTTCACTACATGGCCCAGGCTGCCCTCAAACTTGAACTTAAGACCATTCTGTCTCTCTGCCTGCTGAGTGGTAATTTTATGATGCTAAACTGGTGACATTTTCTTTGTTCATAATGTCACTCATGTAACTTTTATGTATATGTGTGCTGGTTAATCTTTGTCAATTTGACAAAACTCAAGTAATCTGGAAAGGAGGACTCCCAACTGAGAAACTGGCCTATGGGCATGTCTATGGGAACATTTTCTTAATGAACAGCAAACTGTGGGTAGTGCTACCCCGGGGCACATGGTCCTAGGCTGTATATGAAAGCAGGTGGAGCAAGTCATAAAGAGCCAGTAAGCAGCATTTCTCCATGGTCTCTTCTTAATTTCCTGCTTCTAGGTTCCTCCCTCGAGCTCCTGCCTTGGCTTTCCTGGCTGATGGACTATAACCTATAAGCTAAAATAAATACCTTTCTCCTCAAGTTGATTTTTCTTTTTTGTCAATGTTTTATCACAGCAATAGAAAGTAAACTAGAACACTATGTTAATAACAAAGTTGGATCATACTTCTAGATCCAGGAAGTGGCCTATAAAGAAAAGAATAACTGTATTTATCTATGCCCCTACATAAGTCACTATATTTCACTGACATCAAGAAGTATCCAACAGTATTTGGTTAACCTGAGTTAAAAATGGGTAAAATGAAACAGAAAAGTTGAAATATTTATGATTAACATACTATCCGACTATTTTTATTAAAACACACTATGATATTAAAATGAACAATATAAATTTTTATTAAAAGCTTTGCTCATAATCACTGATACACCTGCTTTTGGAGATAAATTAACTTTACAAGCATTTGTGAAATATTTCTAAAATCATACTTTATAAAGGGTTAGCAAATATTAAAACTGATAGCACAGAGGTCACATTTACCAACCCCTATTCAAACAAGATAGAGATCATTAAAAAAAAAAAAAAAAAGACAGCCTACACCTTTTCATTTGGAGACTCAAAAATACCTACATATTTCTTAGAACTACCTGTCTTTGCTGTATTCCACAGGTTCTCACAAAATGGACTTACATATTCATTAGATTTTAGAAAGCTTTAAACTTCTCCTATGGCTTCTTCAATGGTGTACTTCTTACATACCTGCAGTTTTCTGTAATTTTCCTTGCTACTGATTTCTAGTTTTATAATCCCATGACTTGGTAAGTAATAAGAATTACTTCAATTATTTTGTATTTTTAAAGAAATGCTGTTTGGACTACTTTGTGATCTATTTTAGAGAAAACTCCATTGGCTTCTGAGAAAGTTGTGTGTTCCATAGAAGTGCATTGCCTAGTTTATAGTGTAGTTCAACACTGTAGTTTCTTTACTGGATTTTAGTCCAGAACACTTAACATCGATATGAAAAAATTAAATGAAGTCCTCCATTATTATTCTTATCAGGACCAAATTGTACATTTGATGTCAGTTTATGAAACTGGAAATCCTGTCTCTTCATGTATTTTATAGGCAATTTCTTCCCTTTATTAATATGACAAGGCCTTCTTTATCCCTTCATGTAAGTTTTGCTTGAAGGCTATTTAGGTCAGATTTGATTATGGTGCATCCTGCTTATTTTTTGATTCCACTCACTGGTTGTATCAATTACCATTCTTTCAAGTTTGGTCTGCCTTTGCCAGTAAGGTGAGTTTCTTAAAGAAATTTACAGTTAGTCTGCATCATTTAATTGGAGAATTATAACGATTTCACTTATTATTGATTGACTTGCTGATTCTTGTAATTTGTTAGTTGTTTTCTAACTGGTTTGACCATTACTATTTTCTTTGTCCTGATTCACATGATGATCTTTTGTGGTTTCCTGAGTTGGACATGGCTAATTCTTTCCTATTTACTTGTTTCCTATTTACAAATTTCACTCTTTGCTGTGTTTTCATGAGTAAGGGTTTTCCTCCTATGTGTACAGGTCTCATTTTAGTATCTTCTGCAATACTGTCTTGGTGGTCATGAACTGCTTTAGTTTGCCCTTGTCATGAAAAGTCTTTATTAAAAAGTACATTTGCTAGATACAGTAAAGCTGTTTGTCAGTTACTCACTTTCAGTGTCTGAAACACACTGTTCAATGCTTTCCCTGACTTCCAGTACTCCTGATGAAATGTCTTCTCATTTAGAGTATCAATTTTACATAGCCTAGAATAATCTTAAACTTCTGGTCTTTCTGTCTCACCTCCAGATTGGGTTTACAGATATGAACCCTAATGCTCAGGGTTCCCACATATTAGGCATATATTGTACAAACTAAGCTACACCCCCAGCTTCTAAGAGGGTATTTCTAATCCATCCTAGAAACATCCATATTTTTAAAAATATCTTTAACCAGACAGCAAAATTTTTTCCATAGAATGTGATATTAGATGTTATATATCTTTAGAAAAATCACTCAGGTATAAAAGTGTTTGATATATAGCACAAAACACATTTGTTATATAATGAAATTGACAAAAATAGTTTTTACAATATAGTGAGTTTTATATAGATTTGTTTGTTACACCATTGTTTTAAGGATCCCTAGTCTTAGACAGTCCTCATTCTTTTTGGAAAACAACAATAATACTTGTTTTTATACATTAACAATTAATTAAAGTGATCTTTGATGGTGGTAAAGACACATTTTGTTTTTCTATCACAAAATGCAAGATTTTAGATAATAGATGAAAGAGAACAAGCAAAATAAGTTACAATTTTATATGACCAATAGGCCATGCTGCATCCTATTGGTTTTACAAAGTGTTCCTACTTCATTCCTACAATTGAAACTAAGTAAACAGAGAGTAACCATGCCTGGTTGTTACATCCAGGGCCTCTACATGATGATTAAAGTCTAGTAACATACACTACATGTATGTAGCCTTTTAGAGGATTTAAGTATTATTCTGTTGATAATTATTTACTTTAAAATATACTGTGCAAAAACACAGTGCTAGGCAATAGGGAACACTAAGGATGATAGAAGAGTCTTACTTTGGGGTGCTACAATCTCTTTGGAAATATTTTCCTGGAAAGAGCATGGTTGTACAAATGGTCATGTGTTGAACATACACTAATGCACATTATTTATTAGAATGCACAAAATATTGACAAATTTTATACAGATTAAAAGTGATGTAAAGACTCAGAAAAGATGTATCTTTGTGAAGTTGTAAGTATCTTCCTAATTCCTAAATATTTTTGTGTTTTGATCTTGTGGGAACAGTCATTATATTTCATCTCATTAAATTTTCAAGTTAAATTTAAATTTCCAATCTCGTCACATGAAAATTCTTTTCATCACCACCCCACCTTGTCTACTCATTCTTATTTATTTGTCTGTAGAAAGCTTTACTGTCTTTCTTCTTTCCTACTGACATACATAGCTTTTCTTCCTTCCTGGTCTTCCAGATCAACCCAACATATGGCAGGAGCTGCAGCTGGTTTGTTTAGTAGCCCTGTGTTCTGCCAAGGACAAATGAAATGTGATGAATGCCACCTGTCCTACTTTATCTACCATAAGCCAAAGACAGCGTAAACATTTCTGTGGATTTTTATTTGTTTACTAGCACCTAGCATAGGTCATGCTTAAACATGTGTATGGAAAAAATGAATTCCCAATGACCTACATACTGGTCTTTAAAGCAAGTAATATTTGGAGAAAAATACTAAAACAAGGTTTTCTAACATACCATCTGAAGGGCTGAAAGTTCTTCCCTTAATTGTGAAATCAGTATTTCATACTGTTTTTTTGTGCTTTCAACCTGTGAATTAAGACATAATTTAGGCAAAGAATAAAAAATGATTACTGACAAAAATTTACCATGGATTTTTTTAAAAAGCAATTTTTATGGCATAAAAGAAAAATAGGCATATAATATATAAAATAGCTAAGAATTTGTAATGATCTGTGTGTAGTGAGCATGCACACAGGTGGCTGAGGCAGGGAGATTTTGTTCATTCTGCCTATACTATATAGTGAGTTCAAACCTACCCTAAGTTACACAACAAGTCATATAGATCAGACCAGACCACAGGACTGCACTTGTAGCATTGGTTCAGTATACATAAGGCTCCAGAATCTTTAGCATTGTAAAATAAAGAATGATCATGAGAACTGAAGACAGAATTGGATGATGTATCTAAAACAATGGCTATAAAGCATTTTTGTCTCAGGATCCTTTTACACTGTAAAAACAGAACTTCTGTTTATAATGGATTCTTTTGATTAGCATTTTACAATTATTAGAAATAAAAGCAGAAGCTGGGCATTGGTGGTGCAAGGCTTTAATTACAGCACTTGGGAGGCAGAGGCAGGCGGATACTGTGAGTTCGAGGCCAGCCTGGTCTCCAGAGCGAGTGCCAGGATAGGCTCCAAAGCTACACAGAGAAACCCTGTCTTGAAAAACAAAAACAAAAACAAAACAAACAAACAAAAAGAAATAAAAGCAGAAAACCCTAAAAGTTTTACCATTAGGTCCTTTAAATAATGTAATCATTACCTTAGACTAAGTATTTTTTAATAAAAATAAATATATTCTCCCAATCTAAAATTGCTGTGTATTTGCTGAATGTCTGGCTAGACAGGAGACAGCTAGGCTCAAAGGTGCTTGTGCACTCCACCTGTTGTGCTGACATATGTCACACAGCCTCCAGAAGTAGCACTTTGCACATGTGAGAGAACAAGTGTGAAAAGCAATGTCTGCAGACTCCCTAACTGCAAAATGTCAGAGAGCAAGGAATAGAAAAGAAAATTACACTGGACATGTAATTAGTTTTTAAAGCACTTATGTTCTCTATATAGGATCTTTTCACAATGTACACTAGACACTAATGCTAATAAATGAGTGTTCAAGGAAATCTTTGAATAAACATTGAGATTTTTCAGAAAGAGTATAGCTGGTGTGCACAGAGCATTTTGAAGAATTAGGATGTCTAAGGGGAAAAAAAAAGAATTAGGATGTCTTCGATAAACATTTTTCCTAAGAGCTTCTAAGGGTTTTTTTTTTTTTTGCTTTTTTTGTTTTGAATTAGAAACAGGATTGTTTTCCATGACAATCCCCGTTCCATTCTACGTCCCGTCATCCCCTACCACCCACCCCCCAACTAAACCACTACCTATCACACATCCTTTCTGCTCCCGCGGGATGGTGAGGCCTTCCATAGGGTGTCATCAGAGTCTATCGTATCCTTTGGGATAGGGCCTAGGCCCACCCCCATGTGTCTGTGCTCAGGGAGTTCAGGGAGTATTCCTCTATGTGGAATGGGCTTCCAAAGTCCACACCTATGCTAGGGATAAGTACTGAACACTTATGGGAAAGTATGGGACAGGAGGTCCCATAGATTTCTGAGGTTTCCTCACTGAAACCCATGTTCCTGGGGTCTGGATCAGTGCCATGCTGGTATCCCAGCTATCAGTCTGAGGAGCAAGAGTTTCCCGATGTTCAGGTCAACTATTTCTGTGGGTTTCACCAGCCTGGTCTGGACCCATCTGCTCTTCATTCGTCCTTCTCTGCATCTGGGTTCCAGTTCATTTCGGTGATTAGTTGTGGGTGTCTGCTTCTACTTCTATCAGCTGCTGGATGAGGGCTATCAGGTGGCATAAAAGTCAGTCATCAATTTCAATATCCGAGGAGGGCATTTAAGGTAGCCTACCCTCTGTTACTTAGCTTGTTAGCTGGTGTCATCTTTGTAGCTCTTCAGACATTTCCCTAGTGTCTGATTTCAACGATGTTCATAGCAGCACTATTTGTAACAGCCAGAAACTGGAAGCAGCCTAGATGCCCCTCAACTGAAGAACGGATAGAGAAAATGTGGTACATTTACAAAATGGAGTACTACTTCAGTGGAAAAAAAATAGAATCTTGAAATTTGCAGGAAAATGGATAGAACTTGAAGAAACCATTCTGAGTGAGGTAACCCAATCACAAAAAGACAAATATGGCATGTACTCACTCATATGTGGATTTTTAGACATAGAGTAAAGGATTAGCAGCCTACAATCCACACGGCCAGAGAAGCCAAGGAAGACCCTAAGAGAGACATACATGGTCCCTGGAGAAGGGAAAGGGTCACGATCCCCTGAGCAAATTGGGAGCACGGGAAGATGGGGGAGGGAGCTAGGAGAATGAGAAGGGAGAAGAGGAGGTATGCAGAGGACATGAGGGAGCAGAAAGGTTGAGTTAGGGGAAGAATAGAAGATAACAAGAATGGAGATACCATAATAGAGGGAGACATTTTAGGTTTACAGAGCTTCTAAGGTTTTGTTTTTTTTTTTTTTAAAGGACTAAGAGAATTATTGATAAGGATATAAACCAACAGGAAACTTATATGATCTAAAAACTTTGGAAACTTTCTTGTATAAAAGGACCTATTTTAACTCTAATGACCCCTATGGAAGGCCTCACCCTCCCTGGGGAGCAGAAAGGATATGTGATAGGTAGGGTATTAGTTGGGGTTGGTGATAGTCAAGGAGGGGAGGGAGTGGGAATTGGGATTGACATACATAACAATCTTGTTTCTAATTCAAATTAAAAAATCAAAAAAGGACCTATTTTAATGATATAGTGCAAACTTTCTTAGACTAGTTTTAGTACTGATTGCTATGTACTTTATTTGGTTAATTAATATGAGTTATCTTTTTGAAAGCCTGCCAAACAGTGTATGTGGCTTAATTTCAGGCTTTACTTTGGGCTATAATTTACATTGACATTTCAGATAAACCAAGGATTAGGACATTAAGGATCAATCTATTTTGCTTACAGGTCAGTAATAATATGGGCATAGAGGTTGTGGGATCATATGATCAGGTACTGTTCAGAATTCTTTATGTGTATCATTTCATTTCTTCTTACAACAGCCCCATGAGTTACTACCTCCATTACTGATGAGGGATTAATGGCTATAATTTCCAGTTAGTAAAGGCTTGGTGCCCAGCAAGGCTCTATTGGGAGATAATAGAACCTTTATAAAAGTGGGGTCTACTGGGAAATCTTCAGCTGATCTCAGGCATGCACTTGAAAGGGATCATTGGGATCTCAGCCCCCTTCTCACCTATCTTTTATTTCTTGGCTATGTGATGAGTGGTTTGGCTCCATCATGTGCCCTTATCATGATAGGCTGTCTTGCTGAAAGTCTGACAATGGCACCAACTAATCATGGACCACAGCCACTGAAACTGGGAGCCAAAACAAACCTTTCTTGTTATATTAATTCTCCTATATTTTTGTTATAGCAATGGAAAACTGACTACCATAGCAACAGACAGAGAATTTAAGCCATGAATGTTTCATGTAGCATAAAAATTTGAGTTCTTAAAAGTATAGTTATATCTGCCTGACTCCCTACACAATTTCTAAACTGTGTTCTTTTCAGCATCTTATACTGATACAACCAACTTGAAGCTTTACAACAAAAGTATTTTATAATGTTGCCAAACTCAGCTGAATCAAAAAAAGAATCTTCTGAAGTATTAACACTGATTATATCACCAGTGATCTATGACCTAAGGTTCACACCGAATTTTTTGCACTGGGATCTGATGAAACCCAATGTGAGACTGAGGAAGTTTACAATAGGCAGTAGGACTCTGAAATTGATAGACAGACTAAAGCCTCTCCTATCCTACTCCTCTGTATTTCCCTTCCTCCCTCCTTCCTTCTTTCTAGTTTCTTGCCATGAAGCCCAGACTGGTCTTGAACACACTAACCTGTGTCAGCCACCCACGTGCTAGGATTATATGCTGTGTCACTACACCCAGTTTGTCTTTATACAAACATATAAACATATTCTTTACATAGACATTTTATGAATAATAAGGATAGCTGGAAATGAAATACCAATTGACTAGAAACTGATTTTCTACTTAACAAATAGACAAGGCTAATAATGGCCAAAATTTTAGTTTAAAACTTTTTTTTTAAAGTTGGAATATCTGAGAGTTAAGCCATTTTTTTATTTATGCAAAGTTTGACACATTTTTGTTCAATTTTATAACTAGAACAGAAATATATGAAAACATGCTCATTTATATCTACCATAGTCAATAAAATACTTAGAGCAATTGTCAATTGTAATAACTAGGGAAATGACTGCTGACATGGACATTTTCAAGGAAAATACTTTCAGCTACAGCTGAATAATTAGAAATAAATATACATAAATATTTACAGTGCTTGTTGTTAAAGAAACAGAATATTAATAAATATATATTCTTTATTTATCAAAACATTGCCTGTTCTCTGAAATAACAAACAGTGAAGGAATAAAAAGATGTAGACAGTAAAGGCTCTCATAACTCTAATATTTACTTGGTGATGTATATACATCTTTTTGTTTCATATATACCACAGATAATTATTAAATGAAAACCCAAAGAAAAAACTAAAAATAGTGTAATTTTCATTTTCTTTTGCTGGAATTTTTCCATTTTCCTTCACCATGAGAATGTACTACTTTTTGAAACAATTTTTAAAGTTCAAATATAAAAACCTGGCAACAGTGTGGAACCAACAGGAGGTAGAGAACAAATAAAGTGCTTGGCACACAGAAAGTGTTTAGTAGATGTTCTGTGAATGAACACCTGGACTAGCAGGGGAAGGCTGGGTTTAAGGAAACCAACAGGCACATACATGAAAGGAAAAATCTGGGTTTAAGAGAGTATGTTCAGTTAAGACACAACAGACTCAGATATACACTTGGGCTGCTTACAGATAGGGAGGTAACTAGGGTTAGAGGGCAGACAGAGTGCCTCAGATATCTACCTGGGCTGCTTATAGGGCTAGGGAGCACACAAGAGAGTATCAGAGCAGACAGGGAGGTTAGTAGGGTTAGAGGGCAGACAGGAGAGCCTCAGATGTCCACCTGGGATGCTTACAAAAGGAAGATACCTAGAGTTTAGGAGGCAGATACTACAGCCTATAAAGGTATTTAGAATAAATATTGAGACTTTAACACTTTTTAAAAAATGCACTGAAAGTATAAGGTTAACATGAATGAAACTTCAATCAGCCTTAAAAATCAATATACTTAATTGATCTTAAAAATGCAATTAGAATGGTAGTACAGGATAAAATACTTTAATAAAATATTTTTACAAAGATCATGAAAACAACAAATATTTATTGTTAGCCATTAAAAAAGTATGTAAAGAGTATTGAACACTATGGTCTAAAATTAAAACATTCTCAAGCTAACATATAGGGAAAGTTCTTTTTCTTTAGTTTTTTATTTTTTATATATATGAATTACAAACAAGATTGAATTACACAACGATCTTAGTTCCCTTCTCCCTCCCTTCCTCCTCTACCACCCCAACTAAAATCCTACCTATCATATGTCCTTTCTTCTAATCTACACCTGACTCAAAATTTCTGCTTCCTCGTGACCTCTGCATCCTTCCTTTTCTTCCCTTCTCACTCTCGTAGCTTCCTCCCTCCTCTTCGAATGTTCTCAATTTGCTCAGGGGAGGGTGACCCTTTCCCCTTCTCCAGGGGACAAAATTTGTCTCTTTTAGGGTCCTCCTTGTTTACTAGTTTCTCTGGCAGTGTGGAATGTAGTCTGGTAATCCCTTACTATATGTCTAAAATCCACATATGAATGAATACATATCATGTTTGTCTTTTTGTGATTGGGTTACCTCGCTCAGAATGGTTTCTTCAAGTATAGGGAAGGTTCTTGCAGGAAGATAAGAATAAAAAGGCTTTAGTCTGACTCTGTCTTAAATTTGAATTTTTAGTTTGGGAAATTATCTAACTTCAATTAGTAATAAAGTACAGTCACACATCATGTTACAATGGGGTTTGCTCTGAAATACATTGTGACTACCAAAGAGTGTATGTGCATAAGCCTAGGAGGTTGAGGGTTCACAGGCTATGAAACTATACAGCATGGCAATATAGAGAGGTACACATAGTGGTATTTGTTTATCGAAATATATTTTAGCCTGAAAGGGTACTGTAAAAATACCAGGTAACAGGTGTTTCTGCTCTATTATAGTTTCATGAGATCACTGTCATCATGCATAGCTTGTTCTCAACCAACATGACCTTATATAGCATGACTAAAGAATATTTCTAAGGGATATATTTGAAATGGCTTCACAAAAAATAAAGGCTACCATTTAGTTGTTTGAAAGAAAGCAAATATGTTAACTTCATGTTTTTAAATTATAAAAAAAAATCACTTGAAATTGTAGTTCACTGAGGAGAAAAATATTGAGCACAGAAAATACAGGTAAGAAAAAACCCACCTGAAGTTAAAGACTATGTAGTACATTTCACTATACCACAGCAGTTCAATTTAAAGGAAAGAAACAGCAGTTTTCAACTACTTACATTAATAGTTTCACATAGTGTCTTTGGGAGTGAGCATACAAGGTTTTAATTTTAAAATATTTAAGTAGCATTTAGTCTTAGTTAGGACTTAAATTTTATATTTTAAGTATAACTAAAAGCTCCTTACTTCTTTTCTTGCTTTTATGGCGGCATCCTGAATAAGCTGGGACATTGTTTTCTTCATTTTCTCTCTGTCATCTTCTTTTTGCTTCTCTTCAAGCAGAATCTTCAGAAGATAATCATGGCACGTTAAACATCACATTTCACTGGGAAGGTAATACGCTCTTTGACAGCAGGGTCTCGTTCTAGATTTCTGGAATGGCTCCATTGGAAGATCTTGCATAAATCATGAATGATAAGGAATCTCCCAGCATTGCCCACCTTTTCCTAATTAAATCTTTGCTATTTATTCCAGCCACAGTTTCCCAGCACTTTTCTCATCTCCACAAATGAAAGTCTCAGGGTCATTCTGAGCTTTTCTTCTTTTTATACACAAATAAAAATAAGTAAATCTTTAAAAAAAGAGGAAGAGGGAAATTAATCTAATAGCCATAGGCTGCTTCTGAAGGATTTGTTAACTTAGGGCTGAAATGAGATAGGCAATGGTGTCCTGTCTTCTCTTCACTATAAGCCATACAACATCTGATAAGTATTTATACAACTGTGCTTTAGAGGGTAAAGACAAATAACTTTGTCCTGTTCTTAAATTTTCTAGCTAACTTGGGTATTTAGAACAGTTTACAAGCATATTTCTATTTTGGGTAGTATTCTACTTTTGGTGGTACCAAGGATAAAACCTAGGGCTTCACATGTGGTAGGCAAATATTCTGACACCGAGCTGTATCCCAAGACCTACTGCATACATTTTAACTATCCCAAGAGTGTAGAGACAGAATTTAAGTCACAGATGGAAGTACTAGCTGAAAGGTATAAGCATATCAGCATTTGTGCAGTTTGGATTTGAAGAAATAATTATTTTCCTTTTTTCTCTCTCCCCCTCTCTCTGTAGGACTCACTGCCCTTAAGTTTATTATCCCCCTGCTCCACCTCCCTTGAGTACTGGGATTGCAGGCATGTGGTACTTCACTCAGCTTCCTTTATACTAGGTTTGTAAAATACAATTTATACTTTTTGAATTTTTAGTATTTCTCTTGAAAAATCTACCACTTCAAGAAAGAAACCTAAATAATACACTTTCTTTATACCCTGTGCATTTCCTACTGGAGAACTCTGCATATATCACACAGTTCATAAATGTTGGTACACATTAATGCTAGAATGAGTTCTATAAAAAGGAGAGTAACATTTTAAAAAAGTATCTGCTTTCTGTCTTCTATAGATTATATTCATTAATAGGGAAACAGTATAAGAAAGAAAGCATGGTCCAGAATATTACAGAAATCACAATGATTAAGAGGTTGAAACAAAAAAAAGCATGAGTTCAAGAATCCATCTAATCTTTTGAGCTACATTTAACTTTGTCAATTAAGCTTCTGCTTGATGAAGTTACTGAACAGGTAAAAAGGAATCAACACAACTAGGAGGCATCTGATGGAGCACAGTCTGGTAAAGAACTATGGCAGTACAGTGAAAGAAGGACAGTGACTCAGAGTATGGGGACACAACAAGTCTGATATTTATGCACTATGTTTGAAAAATGATTACCATGTTAGCTTATTTTATGATATTACTCTTGCCATCTATAATATAGCATAACTATTTGATAATGGGAAGTGTAGACTTTGTTTCTACGCATTCTTTCTGTAGCTGATGATCCCTTCACTGTTAGAGCATGTGAGGATCTTATTTATGTCTGCATGCTTTGTTACCTGATTCTTTTTAAGGTTAGCCTCTTCTAAGAGTTGCATGCTATCTCTGGCTCTTGAAATAGCCTCATATTTCTCATTTTCTGATTCATTGCACTTTGCTTGCAGCTCTTTGATTTGCTTTTCCAAATGTATTTTCCCTGTTCTCAGTACGTTGGCTTCTTCAATTGCTATACACAATCTAGAAATTAATAAATACAATATGAAAGTTAAATATTTTAAAAGGAAGAAATGACATATAAGGTTTAGTAAACATCACCATAAGGTGATATTATGCTTGTTATTTTTACATGCATTTCTCATTTAAACCTTGCTATAGTTTTATAAAAGTAGATTTTACAATCTCCATTTTAAAGAAAACTATACCCAGAAAGCTTCAGCTTTTGATTAAGAATAATAAGAGCAGTAGATCTGAGACTGGGACAAGATATTTTGACTGTAATTGTGTGATGACTCCTACGGTTTTTTTGGTGTTTTTTTAATTTTGTGAAAATTTCATAGATATATACAATGTATCTTCGTCATATGGATCCTCCATTGCCTGTCTCCAGTTCCACCTCTCCTTCCTCAACATGTTTTCCAACTACTCCCTAATTTTATGTATACATTTTTTTTCTCCCACTAAGTGTAACTTGTGCTACCAATATGGGAATGTGTGAGAGATCATTTGCTGGGATGTGGTAAACCTACCCAAACTATTCCCAAAAGAAAAGTTAATCAGGTGAGCAGTGGTGGTGCACGACTTTAATCCCAGCACTTGGGAGGCAGAGGCAGGCAATCTCTGTGAGTTCAAGACCAGCCTGGTCTACAAGAGCTAGTTCCAGGACAGGTTCCAAAGCTACACAGGGAAATCCTGGCTTGAAAAACACAAAACAAACAAACAAGTAAAAAGTTAATCCCCTCTCTCAGCAGCCATCAAATGCCATTAGCTCCTCTGTTGTGGGAACTCATTCAGCCAATAGTCTTTGAGGTTCTGGCTCCTTCGGGGCGGAGTCTCAGCTGCTACAAGTGGTAGTAGAGGAAGGAACGGCAGCATCCAGCACCTAAGGGCAGAAGACCTCTACTTTGCTTTGTCATTTGTGAGTGATTCTCCAATAAATACCTGACTTCCCCTTATCCGGGCCTTTGTGGACTCTATTACAATTGTCCATTACACTCTTCAGCTAAGGATGAGGCACTAAGAGTCCCTCCCTGTTCCACACTAGAATTTTAAAGTAGCCTGATCTTGCATAGGTCTCAGGCAGGCAACCACAGTGGCTATGAGTTCTTGTTATATCCAGAAGGTAATCTTTAATGGCACACTTCCTCATCCTTTAGCACTCAGATTCTTTCTGTCCTATTTTCTGTGATGTTATCTAACCCTGGGAGTAGGGGTAGGGTAGGGATGTATATATACTTGTTCTACCTACTGCTGAGCATTCTCAGCTGAGAAGAAGTAGTTATTCTCAGAACTTTGAAGAGTTGTGAGTCTGTGCAGTAACCACTGCCTTCTGTAGTAAGAAGCTTCTCTTACCAAGGTTGAGGGCAGCACAAACTTGCTGGTATGTTTCCATACATAAAAAATTACAATCAATTATTTGACTTACAGCCATAAATACAATGTGAATTCATAGGCTGTACATATTTAATCTTTCATAGGTTACTAATGACAACTTTCAAGCCCCTCAATGGAACATTACAGACCTAGACAGAACAACCATAACAAAATATTCTAGTGTAAATGTTTGTAGTAAAACAGCAACTTAAGACAGAGCTATGTATATTTTAAAAAGAAGCTCAGCTCTTCAAAGATAATTTAAAAAGTTATTGCTCAAAAAAAACTCGAGGGAAATTATCTATATTTTCTTATTTTTTCCCTCATGTAAGTACTTAGATCTTTCTTAACATATAATTTTATTCAACTTCATTATCCTTTTATTTTCTACCTTAAAATGGAAAGAAAATATGATTCTGAAACTAACAATGGCTATGTTGCCTTGGGGAAAGGTAAAGGCAGTAAATAACTTCCTTGTATATGAAAAAGATGCCTCATAGTTTCCTGAATTATTCATTATGTGCTTTATATCTGTATCTTATGATTTTATTAGTTCATGTTTTGGACAGGATATGCTATGTATCTAAGTCTGGCCTTGAACTCATGACCTCTTGTGTTAGTTTCTCATTGCCTATACTGTTTTTCTGACAGGGATCTGCATCTGATTTCCTGATAAAAGCATCTGTATTTTCCTCCACCAAACAAACACCCCAGGATGTCAGCAGTCAGCATCTGAAACCTGCCCAATGCTCTCACCACTGGATTCATAAAATGCCTTCACTTACGATTTTCTTTTGACTACAGAAGTTTATGTAACCATTTACATTTTGGAAGGTGTTATCTAGAGTAATCTGAATGTGTTCCCAGGCCATGGCCACTCATGTTCAGGTCAGAAAAGACTCACTCTTATTCCTTTTGATATGAGAGCTGTGATTGAGGTCAGCAGTTAAAGTGTTTAGTTCATAAGAAAATGTTTCATTGGTAAGATGTTTAAGGTTTTATTCCCCAGAGAATATTTAGACAGTTATTATGTGATTTGAAGAGTCTAGCTATCCATTGTCGATCACTATTATTTTTATTCTCCATTTCAGATCTTTGGTGCACTACTGGTATGTTATACCTCCTGTACCTGGCCTTCATTCTTTCCTTATGTGGATAATGCTGGACTTTATTTGAGCCCTATGCTCCCAGGAAGACAGAGACTTAAGTAGTAGCTCCATATTTATTCTACAATACTTTATTTCTTTCTAGGAAAGGGCAAACCCTGTGCTCACATATGCTAAGATCCTGTCTGATGTCTCCTGTTTATCTGCTCGTGTGAAATCTCTTCCTAATTTTTAAAAAGAATTCCCCATTATGAACACCCTCACTACTGCAAAGCTTGATTTGTCAGGTCTTTTATAGTGCTAAAGAGTCCTTAAACTACCCAATCAAACCTTGGATGAAAAACAATTGTGATTTTTTTATTTTTTAATTATGTGTCTATGTATATATCGGTGTGTGTTTATATTATGTGTGTATGGGTGACCGCAACAGCTAGAAGTTGGCATTCAATCTCCTGGAGCTGGAGTTAGAGGTAGTTCTAAGCTGTCTAATGTGGGTGCTGGGACTAAATCTGAATCCTCTGTAAGAGAAAGAAGAGCTCTTAACTGCTCAGTCACCACCCCTCCAGCCTCAAACAGAAAATTTTATGTTTAGATCACTTTCACATTACTGCTCTTAAAGACAGCATGTTCTCTTTTTTGTATGTGTATACAATGAGTATTCAATGTATGTTGAACAAATGGTTTTACCTGTGAACATAGAAGTTGCTTTAAAGAGACTGTTAATTTTTTTTCTTCAGGGTAGAGGAGATGGCTCAGTGATTAAGAACACTGGCTGCTCTTGAAGAGAACTGGGTTTGATTTCCAGAACCTATGCAGTGCCTCAAAACTGTCTGTAACTCCAGTCCAAGGTTATCCCACACTCTCTGGCCTCTGTGGGCACCAAGCAGGAAAGCAGTGCACAGACACATATGTAGGCATAACACCCATACATGCAAAGTTTTTTCTCCACATAATGCATGGAAATTATACCTAGTCTAAATTCTTTTATAGATCTCTCAGCATTATCCATACTTTGTAGGTACAGTAATAAGAGTCCTAAAACACCTTACACATACTTCCTGAAGCCATCCAAAACATAACTATTAAGGTCAAAACTGTTTACCATTTCTCTTTTTCTCTCTTCCCAATATAGTCATTATTGATTCCTCTAGGGATCATATTCATTTTCTTCTGCCAATTTAGGTATTCTGAATCTTAAATGGCAAAATTCTTAGCATAAACAGTGTATTTATAGTTAGGAGGGGCAAACAATTACTGTCAATTTTATTATTATGAATATGTATGTCAACAATAAAATTTTAATGAACAAAAATTACTCATTTTACAAGTAGGTAAAATCATCAAAGTTCTCAGAACGCACGCATGCACGCACGCACAGACACACACACACACAGACAGACAGACAGACAGACAGACAGACACACACACACACACACACACACACACACACACACACACACACACACACTTACTTTAGATCTCACACCAATTTTAACTTGGGCCACTAAAATCTTTAAAGGAGTGTTATGGTAAAACTATGAACTATCAGGATCTGGGAAGATGGATGTGTCAGGAAAGTACTTTCTACAGAACCATGAGGACCTGCGTTTGATCCATAGTATCTACATAAAATAGCCAGGTGTGGCAGTGTGGTCTTGGAATTTCAGTGCTATGAAGGCAAGGATAGAAGGAACCCTGGTGTTTGTCAGCTATGGGAGCTCCAAGTTCTATGGGAGACTCTGGCTCAAAAAATAAGGTAGAGAACGACAGAGGAAGACACCCGATGATGAACTCTGACCTCCACAAATATGTGCTCATGTGTATATGCACCTATATAAACAAGTATAAAATATCAGAAAATGAGTATATATATCATTATTTACTAAAATGAATTTTCAGCCATGACTTAATAGCTCAAGTATTAAAATAAGGATATACCACTAACCCAAGAATACTCAACTGATATCTAAAATAAGACATCATTTTAGAACTAATATCATGTTAAAAACTACTCCTGAGTTTTCAAAAGGAAACAATACATATTCTCCCTACTTAATAAGGCTTTTTGTTTGTTTGGTTGGTTGGTTGATTTTTGGTTTCCGAGACAGGGTTTCTCTGTGAACCTTTGGATTGGAGCCTGGAACTCACTCTGTAGACCAGGCTGGCCTCTGCCTCTTGAGTGCTGGGAATAAAGGCATGCTCTAACACTGCCCAGCCCTACTTAAATAAAATTTACCACCTAATTTTCAAGTTATTTTGCTCAACTGGAACAAAGAAAAGGAACTAAGTGAAAAGAACCAGAACCATTTTGATACACTGTTGTTCTATAGTTCAATAGTCTATAGAAGAGGGTATTGACATTTGAAATCTGTGGGGACCCTTTTGGTCGTTACAATAGTAAGAGGAACAACTAGAATTTAGTGGTTGGTGCCTGAGAGACAATCTCATAATTGTTGGCACAGTCTCAAAGTATTAAAAAAAAAAAAAAGTCCCCCACAAAAGGTGAATGGTATTGTTGGTTTTTTACTCTTATACTCTTAGGGGGCCTGCCACCCAGATCCCAAATAAATATATGTTGTCTTATTATTACTTATGTCTGCCTTAGCTTGGCTTGTTTCTAGTCAGCTTTTCTTAAATTATCCCATCTTTTACCTCAGGACTTTTACCCTTCTGTAACGTCTTACTCCATGGCTTGCTGTGTAGCTGGGCAGCTGGCTCCAGGATTTCTCTCCATCTCCCTTTCTTGCTCCTCCATCCTTTCTTCCCAGACATCTCTTCCTTTTATTCTCTCTGCCTGCCTATCCCGCCCATCTTTTTTCCTGCCTATCTATTGGCAGTTCAGCTCTTTATTAAACCAATCACATGTTTTAGTTAGGCAAAGTAACACAGCTTCACAGAGTTAAAAGAATGCAACACATCTGTGCATCATTAAACAAGTATTTCACAGCATAAATGAGTGGAACACATCTTAAAATAACATTCCACAACAGTGTTGTCAAAAAATATCACACCATTTTATAATGGTCATGAGGGAGAGATCAGTGATTGCAAAATGGATGAGAAAGGTAACTGGAGATTAGAGTTCCCAAGAAAGGGAACTTTGGAAAGACTGGTAGCTTGACTTCTGTGGAACAATGAAGTTAAGCAACCTATAGGGCTTTCCTGTCACATTAAACCTAAGAAACAAGAATAATCTACAGCATTGAGCTCTTAAGAGATAATCCTTCTTGCAGGGTTTATGGCCTAAGAACATTATGGAATACTTAAAAGCTGACATTTTCATTGCCTTCTGTTCCAATGCTTATTTAGACCTTAAATGTATTATTTGTTAAAACACAAAATTATGGAGGATTTGGGGAAGTTTCAAATTTCCTCAGATACTATGATTTAGAAATTTTAAATGCTTTTTGGAAGGGCTTTCTGTTTCTAAAAATAACTAGAAATACTTCAAGATCTGTAAGCTTACATACATCAAGAGGACTGAAAATAAAGATGTCTTTGGTGTTATAGTATTGTAATAGAGGTCATAATGGAAACCAGGTTAGGAGGCAAAGTATTTTGCCTTACAAACCAAGCACCTGGTACCAGGAAAAAAGCTTATCATCTTCTTTCTAAGGCACCTACAGCTAAATCTACACATTCCTATCTTCTGGATTTAATTTCAACTTGTCTAAGTTGCAGTACTGTTAGGTAAGGCAGAGACACACTGGGAATTTCTCCCAGGTTTGGACATATTATACATACATACATGCATACACACATACATATTTTTTCATATATATATATATATATATATATATATGTATTTTTTTTTTCTGAGACAGGGTTTCTCTGTGTAGTTTTGGAGCCTATCCTGGCACTTGCTCTGGAGACCAGGCTGGCCTCGAACTCACAGAGATCCTCCTGCCTCTGCCACCCGAGTACTGGGATTAAAGGCGTGTGCTCCCAATGCCCGGCTATTTTTTTTTTTTTTCTTAATGTGGGTGAGTGCTCAGACACAGAGTCAGGTTTTATAAATGGCGCCTCTAGCAACCATACTAGCCCAAATACCATGGTGACTAAGAGTTTATTTCTTTTCAAAAAAGTATTAGATGAAATTTGGTGCAACTGTTTGTTATCTTTCAAAATTGTGACATGAATCAATACATGAGTGTCTAGACTTTAGATGTATTACATAAATGATTTTTTTTTTCTTTTGGTTTTTCTGAGACAGGGTTTCTCTGTGTAGCTTTGGAGTCTATCCTGGAATCTATAGACCAGGCTGCCTTGAACTCACAGAGATCCACCTGCCTCTGCCTCCTGAGTGCTTTTTTTTTTTTTTTTTTTTTTGACAGTCTCTCTACACAGGAGCTATTCTGGGACTCACTATGTACATCAAACTAGCCTCAAACTAACAGAGATCCTCATGCCTCTACCTTTTGAGTGCTAGGATTAAGGTATGAGCCACCACGCCCAACTAAATGATTTTTGAATGTATGTTCAAAGTATAATAATAATATTGTTTTTAAAATAAGGCTCAGATTTTAAACCCATGGTTTTAGATTTGATTTAGTATTTATAAAATACCTATTCCAATAAATAATTGAAACCCTACTGTACAGTGCACATATGAAGCATAGAGACACAGTTGGAAGCATTACCTTGACTCTAACTGTTTTATACTTGACTGTAACTGCTGTAATCGTCTATCTGATGCTTCCTCTTTTCCCTGGGCAGATATAATATCTTCATCCTAGGAAGTAAAGAACCCGAAGCTTACTTGAAACATCTCATACTATAATATACAAGCACCATTTTACAGCATGATGAACGCAGCAGAGTACAAAGTTATGTTACTAGCATTCTAATATGTAAAGATATATTTTATTAAGTAAACACATCTAGTACAATGAGTTTGGGAGCAAACTTCATCACTACCATATTAGACAATCAAGAGTTACTGCAATGTTTCACATGTTTCCACTGCACATCCAGCAAAACAAGGCAAAGGTTCCTATGTGGCCACTCTGCTGCTATAATATGTTTTAACTATTTCCCATGATCTATTAAGTGATACAGGGCATTTCTTACAGAGTGATGCTTGCACTATCAACAGGTTTTATTTACCTCATTTTTCTAGAAAAGCTTCTTGCCTATCATTGCTTGCCTTCTTTTATAGTAAACACTCTAAATGCTATCATTTCAATTTATTCATAGTTCTTAACAGTATCTTTGAAAAGTTTTTTTCCCACACATGATCCTCCTACGTAGCATGGCTAGTCTGGAACTCACTGTATATACCAGGCAGACCTTCAGTTTGGGGCAATCTTCCTGATTCTGTTTCCCAAGTGCTGGGATTACAGGTGTGCTCTACCATGTCTGGCTTAACGGAATCTTTAAAAAAAAAAAAATTTCAACAGTATTTAGACATACTATTCTGGATTTACCACTTGTTGTGGTTTATTTCCTGAATCTGAGTTGTTACCTAGTACCATTTCCTTTTGCCTCACAAACATCTCAGGAGGAAATCAAAGCAGCAGGCTTGGAGGTACATGTCTGTAATCCCAGCCTTTGGAGTTTCCAGATGGAGTATCAGGAGCTCAGACTCCAGTGAGACATTGGGAGCAGCCTGAGCACAGCCTGAGCTTCAGGAGATCCTACCCAAGAAACTGAACCAACCAAACAATAAATAAACTTCCTTCTGAATGTTCTGAAATCCAAGTCTTTTGGGCAAAAATTCTGTTTATTTATTTGGAATGTCTTGCTTTCATTTTTCAAACACAGCTTTACTGGATACAGAGCGCATTGAGAGCTGTTGTCTTCAGCACTTTCCACACGTCGGAAATGTTTTCTTTCTGCCTTCACAACTTCTCATGAAGAACTCAGCCATGATTCTTACCACCCTTCCTCTGTCCAGATCACCTGTTTCTGTTTTCAATGTCTTCTTTTTAAGACTGTATATCAGTGTCATCATGATTCTATAGAGATGGTTTTGTTTGTTTGTCCTCTTTAGGGGTCATTATTATTCCTGCTAATGTTTTCCTCTGACTTCAGGTTGTTTTCTGCCCTTCTCCCTCTTTTCTGAAGCTCTAATTGCACCTATATTGGAATGGTTCATACTAGTCCAAAAACAGATATTTGAAACTGGTTCTTGGACAAGGAAATTTCTAATGTTCTCTGCTGACCCTCCTTGCTTATCCAGACTTTTTGAATCTATTTTTGGGCCTATCTAGTGAACTTTTTTCCCAATTACTACAAAAGCTCTAGAATTTTTATTTTAAAATTATTTTCTTGCTCTCAGTGGAAATTCTCTACCTTTTCCTTCATTTAGACTTTATTTACTCTAGTTTAAAAAATAATAAAAAAAGAAAACAATTCTTTGAGCAATCTTCTTTTTTGAGAAGGGTTTTATACCGTAGTACAGACTGGTCTTAAACTCACTATGTAGCCAAGGATGATTCTGAACTCCCTATCTTCCTGCCTCTACTTCCTAAGTGTTGGGGTTATAGGTGTGCACTGCTACACCACACTGAATTTTTTTTTGTAGTGTTATGTGGAGACCGGAGACTGACTCTAGAGGTTGCTCATTAGTGCTGTGACAAAAATAATTCAAGAAAAAGGAAGGAAAGGTTTGTTTCAGCTTTTGTTTGTGGTTCTACGTCCTTCATAGCAGGTATGATATGGAGGCAAGAGCATGAAGTAGTTAGTCATATTTCATCCTTAGTCAAGAAACAGAAATAAATTCCAGTGTTTAGCTAACTTTCTCCTTATTCACTACAGGGATTTAGTCCATGGGACAATGCTGTTCACATTTACAGGGGTCTTTCTCACCTCTATTAACCCAACCTAGGAATCCCCTCAGACACTAAAAATGTTTTTTCACATGAGATTCTAAATCCCATCATGTTGAGAAGATTGACCATTACACCCAATGCTAGGCAAACAAAAGATCACTGACTACTTAAATGTAAATGTAACAATCATTTCCAAATGCTCTTTCTTCAACATTTAACAACCAGGTCCACTGAGAGAAAGCTTTTATTGGTAACATATCCTATATTTCCCCTAATCCTTTCCCTTAAAGCATAGATAATACTTTCCTGTCTAGTAATTTTTGGTTGAAAACTGGTTGTTCTCAATAACATATTAAGGACTGATTATTACGGACTACAGCAAGGTGTTATTCAAGTGGGAAACAATTTTGCTTATTATGTGATCTCTGAAATTTGTTCCACACTGTACAGAGGTTGGTATCTATGATAAGCTCTTGCTGATTTACACTTTTGTTTTCATATAGGCAGGTCCTATGGAGTGTACCGAACCTACACAATCTGAGGGGCAATCCAGATGGGGCAGAGGTAGGGTTCACTTTCTCTGTGATTTCCTTGTTACTAGAAATTTATTTCCTGTAATTTCCAACTTTGGAGTTTGTTGTCTTATGCCTTAAATAATAATATTCTAAGGCTCAATTTACACTATTTCTACGATGTACTTCACCATTGTCCTTCTACCTGACTACAGCGACCTTTCTCAGGTTTCAGTCTGCTCTCCACTCTCTGTATGTGAAACATGGCTACCAGGGTTAGGGTTAGTAAGAATATGAACTGAGAGCAATGGTTACTTTTCCTTTGGGTCCTCTTGTGGCCATCATGTCCTTTTAAAATGGCCAATGGCTTTTGTGGGCCTAAACTTTGGTTTTGAGTGCTTAAGCCATTATAAAGCTTTTTTTTGAAGCCATAGGTATGGGAAGTAGAATGAAGAACCACCAGGTCAGAAATCCAAAACCTAGAAATTCTAATTTCTTTTGTTCCTATTTCAGAATGTTTTCCATGCCTGAAAAAAAAATTATTTGTGGGAGAGCTCTTATACCTCTCCATACTACTCTATCACTATAGGAAATCTATAATCAACTTTTAAGAACTCAGGAAATAAGGCTTACTAGTAATAGAGATAGTAACTATCAAAAGTAGATTTTTTTAATAATAATATCCATCTAAATCTAAAGCCTGACATTTCTTCAATATCTTTCTAAAAGTCCCCTATGATGTATGGAAAGAATCAGCCTGATATGACAATAAAAACTTGAATAAGCAATATAAACTATGGTATTAGATGTTTATTTTCCATCTGAATAGATGTTAAGCAAAACTTGGCTGTAAACTGTCTTTTAATGATCTGTTTATACTATGATGTTTAAATTCACTATGCTAAAATCAATGGAAATAGAGTCTTCACTAAAATATTACCAATGCTATTACCTTCTTCAGCATCTGTTCTTGAAGACCTTCAGTCACTTTAGTTAACTCTTCCACTTTCGTTACTGCAACTCTCAGATCTAACTTGGCTTGCCTGAGGAAGAACATAAATTCATGTGTTATGTTAGAGACCATAAAGAATGGAAAGTTCAAAATCTAAATTTAGTAAAATCATTACTAATGTTTATATAACTAAATATTCATCCCATAGGTAAATTCTGAATGATTTCCTTAATGATATTAAAACACGTATAAAAGTAAGTAGGAAAAATATAGCTAATTATAGAGGGGTATAAAGAGGATTACTTTATTTATACAAATTACATTTAATGTCCAAACAATCCTGTGAATTTAGTGAAGAAAAATTTGATCATCTTAAAACAAGAATTTCAGTACAGCAGGAACTTAACTATGCTTACACTTTCTTCAATATACCTAATTAGAAAACTACTGCTGATTGGCCTCTGTGAGAATGAACTTAAAGCTTGAATGTCTATCAGCCCCTGGAGCAGTGATTATAACACTGGGTAAAATCTATATACCCATAGCAACTTGCTTTTCTTACCTCCAGAAAGATTATAATGTTGATTTTTCTATTTGTTTCACTGGTTGCTGAACAAGTGAAAGTACAGTACATTAAAGTGCCCAGTAAACCTGAAAGCATCTGTTGGGAGAATCTCAGCATGCCGAGCACTGGCATCATGAGCACAGTGCTGTTACTACTAGTGATGAAACCCACCTGACCAACTGCCGTGAGAACAAAAACTCTCATATTAATGGACCTTTTTCTTATTTTGATCTGATTTTAAATAATCAGTCAACTTCTAAATTGTCTGCCAAATTCATATTCCTCATTGTTTTTATGGTTCAACATTTATCACCATTACTACTTCCAAAGACTGATTTCCCTAACTCCTCTTGCTTTTTTTTTTTTTTTTTTTTTTTTTTTTTTTTTTTTTTTTTT